CAGCCAGTGGGGAAGATCAGCTTATTTGGTTGCTTAATGAAATATAAAGATTATTTTAACCAATGTAAGCACAATTCGACAGCTTGCAAAACACGGCTGCAACTTGACAAATGGCCTCCACCATTTACAAAAGAAAATTGCTGCATACTATCTTTTAAATATTTAATTTATTCTACTTGGAATGTGCATGATGGTAAATGGGAAGTTAACTGCACCTCTGCATGATTCTGTTAGCCTGTATTTTTCCCCCTCCTCCCCAACCCAAATGAACGGATCCCAGAAGTTGCTCACAGTTAAATGCAGGTTGGAGAGAACAGCTGTGGCGTTCTCCATCTCAGCATAAGTGCTACGAAGAGCAAAACCTCACTAGTTGGGTAAGTATATGGAGAAAGATTTTTATGATTAGTTAACACAATGTGATGCCTCCATCATGCCCTAATTGTCAGGAAAAGATTTGGAGGGGATGTGGATTCTAGAACTAATGGATAAGGATTTTCCAGTTTCCAAGATTTCTTAAATCATTACTGAGAAAGATTATTAGTCTCCTAAAAAGTTCCCCCCAAAGAAATCTAACTTCTTTAGGCAACCTGCCTAAATATTTCCTGACACCTAACCAATTCCATACATTTAAATTTCCCCCAGTATGCTTAGGAGACGATCTCCTCATTCTGTTAAGCGCATCCCCCCTGCCAATAAGCCAGCCACCTAACCCTGCCGAAGAAAAAGTAGGCTTGGTTTGGCAAGCTCTCGTCTTAATAAATCCATAGTTTTCTTCTATTCCAAAGTTTTGTTTTTGTAGCGAATTAAGCCCACATCCTTATCAATGATTTCCCAGGACTTCTTTTTCCTGGTTTTGAACACATATATGGTATGTGCGTTCTACAATATATCCCAGCCATACTTTGTATGGCATAGTTTGCTTTGCTTTCAGTGCATTTACTTTATGTTGACTGCCCTTCCCCACATGCTTGAGACAACTTCCTGGGGCTTCACACTATCTTTCTTCCTCCATTTCCTAATAACGAAGATTTCTTCATCTCTGGCCATCTTTTACATATGGATTTTTGCCACATCCTTATGATATTTGCCCATTCCCACATGTATGGCTTAAAGAGAATCAGTGTGGTTGGTATGGCTATAGTGAACTTGGACTTTGGAAATACAGGTGCAAATATTTCCTCAAAGAATAAATTTACTGGTTAATTTGTGGCTTGTCACACAGGATTGTTGTAAGGATTAAAATAAGATGATCACAAATACACTGCCCTAAGCTAGTTAAAAGAAGGCTGACATAGAAAGGTGATGATGGACTGTTGTTACATGCCATTAGGTTGTTTCCAACTTATGGATGAATGTTCTCCCTGTGGATAAATGCTCTCCAATATATCCCACCCTGCTCAGCTCTTGCAAATGCAAGGCTGCAGCTTCTATTACAGAGTCTCTCCATCTTATGGTTGGACTTCTAGAATAGAATTGGAAGGGGCCAGAGGGCCATCAGGTACAACCTCCTACTCAGTTTAGGCTTCCAAGTTAAAGCATCCTTCTCAGATGGCTGTCCTGTTGCATCTTAAATGCCTCTAGTGTGGAAGAGGGCACAACTTCCCTAGGTAATTGGTTCCATTGTCATACTGCTCTAACAGTAAGGAATTTGCAACATTTGCTGCCTTATTCTGCGGTAAGGCTGACCCTGCTTCCTCTCTGTTATATCATCATCTAGAGCACAGCAGGTGGGAATGCAGGAGTGGAACATCTAAGACTCTGGAATCTCCTCCTGGGAGAGGTTCTCTTTTGTCTCAGTTTCAGCAGCGAATAATTGCCCCCTTTTATAGACTATTCAAGTATGAGGTGATTATGCCTTTTCAACCTGTTGGTTGCTTTTCTTTTCTGTGGTCTGGTTTCACTGTTGCTTGCTTTTACTCTTCTTGTTGTCGCTAGTCATCTCATCTATCCAAAGGGATAGATAAGGTTAGATTTAAACTGTTTTGATAATGGAACAAACTCTTGAGCTGGACATTTATTAGGGCTCCTTTAAACAAGTTGCAATTTGAACTGCACAGTGATCCGTGGCAGTATTCATGGGAGTAGTACACACAACTGTAACACACGCACACATCTTCCTACTTTTGTGTAGAAACTTACGCAAAATATCAGAAAATTAATCAGAACTGGGAATTTGATAGCACTAAGGCAGAATGGTGTTATATTTGAGCTGCACACAAGAGACATCAAGAACGCCAGCACCACTTTATTTGAAATGAAGGATATATTTTCCTATATTTTTATTCCTAAGAACAAGATGGGGCCTGGGGGAAGAGATGCACAAACACAGTGCCACAGTCCTTGTTAAGAATATCATATTGCTTATTTTCTAGCATCATCACTCTGGTTGGCAACACCAAATGTCTAGTCAAGAAATGGACTCTTCATTTTCCTGCATGGCTAGACATCAGGTTAGCATGTTGAGTCACCTTTGCTAAGCTGGAAAGGTTGGGACTGCAGCTGGATGGCTGACCACATGAGGAAGCATAGCCGGAGGTCAGACGTGATGGCCTTATAGGCCCCTTCCCACTGTGCTGCTATTCTATTGTATTCTATTCTGTCTTGGAACAATGGATGAACCCCTGGGCCCAGTGGAAGTAGAATATACAGGGGGTGCCTTTGACAAGGGGAGAAGAAATAGTTATTCTTGATTCAAGGCACTTGAGGAGCCTGGCTACTCACTTTACTTTTAACATTCTGTTCAACCACACTTTATACTAGCTGATAAAGATTTGAGTTTTGAGCAGCATAACTGTGGTTTTGCAATGGCACATTTTTTTTCCTGGAATGCCAGTGTTTGTGTCTCATTGCATAATTTGTTTTTTTTAAGTGTCATGTACATAAGTCAAACTTGTACTCAGAATGGTATTGTCATCATTATGACTTGTTTGGAACTGGAATTTCTTTTTTTTTCCTTTTTTTGTGGGGGGTGTCTTTGCTAGCAACCATTATAATATTCTGTTGAAAATACATTTAGTCTCTATAGTTGTAAGTATGTGACTAGCCTTTCTCTTTCTCCTGAGCCAAGACATATTTACATATTTGCATCTGAGAAATCTTCCTTAATCTGTAGTTCATCATTCTCCCATGGCCATTTTGGATGCACTACATGGGAACAAGGACAGCCATAATCCTTAAGAGACCGTTGGAATAGATGTACATGGGTTATCCTACCTGTATAAGTTGCATCACTGATTTCCGATTCCCTTCTATTTGCACCCCATCCATCACCATAAAGCGCATGGCTATTGGAGATATCCTGTGTGGACAGATACTCCTTATTCTCTGGAGCAGGGCATATATTGTATTTAGGACGAGGGAGGCCAGAAACTCTAAGCTGCTGTGTGGACTGCGATGCTTCAGCACCCTCTGTTCCATTTCCATCCACCCCAATTTTCGTGTGCCTTCTGCGAGTCTCTATCCTCTGCCATCCCGATAGCAGGCAGGCACCATTATTTTCCTGAAGGTTTTTGTACCTTGGGCTTCTCCTGCGCCCACTGATGCATTTACCTTGCATGCCAATCGGGCCACTTTGGGCCACACACGAAGAGCTGAGGTCACTGTTAGTACATGTGATGTTCTAGAGTTGCCACTCCTTCTCCTTAAAGTGCATGAATGACCACCAACAGGTTCCTTATTCATCTGCTATTGAAAAGTTTTCATTGTCTCCTGCTTTCTGATAACAGATAGTACAAGATTGTCAACAGGCAGTGAAAAGTCACATGCAATAAAATACAGGACTTTGATTCTTGGGGTCCACAGGGAAAAGCAAAACAAAAAAGTAAGGGGCAAAAAACCCAATCCAGCACAGTCATTGACTCAACACAAGGCCTTCCGTTTGCACAGATGGGATATGGCATTACACCCACTGAAAAGGGTGCCACCAGATGAGCCTTGTATTGCATCATCTCCTAGTCGAATTCATTTAATTTTTTCAGGGGCTTCAGATGATTTCCATTTGTAAACCTCTTTTGTTTCCCCACTGCTTGTTCTGTCATTTTTCTTACCAAAAGTCTAGTAAAGAGGGAAAGATGAAATAGTCACAATATGCATTTTGACTGGTAGTACCAGCAGCTGTTTATCTGGAAGCATCGCCTATCATCAAAGGCTGAAAGGCAGCTGGGGTACCTGGTGGGTGGCAAAAAGCTGTCCTCTTTCCCTTAATGTGGAAAGGCCCTAAAAGTTGGGGTGAAAAATTGTGAAAGTCAAGATGCAGTGCGATTGCTAAAGCTGGAGGCTACCCATTTTCTTGTGTTTGAAGATGACTTCTTGGAAATGAAGCAAGTCTTTTTTCCATCTAGTGAAACATTCAGTACAAGTCAGCAGCTCAACATTCAACAATGATAACAGCCACACCAGTCTGACTTTAGTCCCATCCTATGTATTCATTTCCCAAACCCACAGGTCATGACAGAGGGCAATATACAACAAAAGAAAAACTTTAGAGGGTTGGCTTGGTTTACTTGTTTGTTTTTTGATAATCAGCCACATGCCTAGATAAACACTTTGGCAATTGCATGTTGTATGGAGGCAGAAGAAGCAACTCTCATTTCTGTCTCTCCTTCTCTCCTCTGCCATGAGCAATTTTACATTAGCTAGACAAGGGCTTGCCTATGTACCAGCGGTCAAGCTAACCAAGCCTGCTGCTGCCATATGGCTAGGGATGATGGGAGCTGTAATCCAACACCTTTGGAGGGTGCCAGGTTGGTGAATGCTGAATTAGGTGACCAGCATTAGGTGTTCATCCAATTAAGTTGAACAGAATTTAAAGCAAAAGTGCGTATCCCAAAGGAAAACAAATATGTCTGATGTATATATTTATCTCGATTCCATATGAGATAAAACTGCATTTCCTTAAACACTGTTATTTGCATCACATCAAATTTCCAAATTCCAAATTCAAGTCAGAAGTTCTAACAGCTCCTTCTTCATCTCTCCTTTGCCGCAGGCCATATGTCACCATGCAGCATTATGGAGTGAATGGTTATTCTCTTCATGCGATGAATTCTCTGAGCGCCATGTATAACCTTCACCAACAGGCGGCACAGCAAGCTCAACATGCCCCAGACTACAGGCCATCTGTGCATGCCCTCACCTTGGCGGAGAGACTGGCTGGTAAGAACAAGTTATGGATTTTGTGCTTGCACTGGAAGACCTGCATGTTGCCTTTCAGCCCCGGTGCTGCTGAAATGCAAATAAAACCTTGAACAGACTCAGGGAGTAGCAATTTCAAATTCCTGCAGACTAGTGCAAGCTACTTCTGGAATGGCTGCAAAGGCTTAGTTGGTCTAACTGTAGAAAATGATGCTGAACACACATGTGGTTCTCTCACCATCTCTAAAACAATGAACAAATGCTGGTTGTAACCCAACTGTGTGATAAGTGACTTTTCACATGGAGACTTCATGGAAGCTGTTTAGCGACGAGGAGAGGGAACGGAACTGTGGATACGATCTTTGCAGTGTAAAATGGGGGAATAAGGTTCTATTTGGCAGCCAATGCAAGATTATAAAGCACTGCCCATTCTGAATATTTGCAATCAACTGTTTACTTTCACATAAGGCATTTTAAGAAACAATGTAAAGGTGTCCTTCAGAGGATTACAGGCCGTCAAGAGCCTATGTGCTTCTCCCATCCTGCTGAAGACAGAGGTGCCCAATTTTAGCCATTTCTATCTTCTGCCATTGCTCACAATGTATCTTAAGAGGCAGTACATGCAAAAATCTAACCTACATTACACTGGGAAAAGTATGCAATTGCGTACAACTTCCTGCCACATATACACGCATTAGGAGAAATGCACATAAAAGCTTTTTTTTTTTTTAATCCAAACTGTGGGGTCAATTGAACTTAAGACTGCAAAAAACTATCAGTTTTGGACAAACCAAACTTAAAATTGGAAAAATGAGAAAGTGAAATTGACAGATTCATTCCCCATTCTGCACACACAGTATGTAAGTTAGTAGAGGGCTTTTTTCCAGTGCCTGAATCTAATTTAGTATAAATTGTTATACTACGAGCACGATCCGCTGGCCCCCTGATACTGTCAGGGTAGGTCAGAATCCCACGCCTGACCTGGCAAAAACAGCCTGCAGGCAGCCCTTCAGCCTTGGTAAGCCAGCACAGCTCTTCCCACACCAGCTGGGCTCTGGATGGCCCTTTTTGGAGCCCCCATGTGGGGGGAGGCATTCTGGCAGAGAGGGGAGAAGTGAGGCTCTTCCATCTTCAAGGAATTCCAGTGGTGCCTCAGCCTGTGGAGAGAAGGCCCAGCTTTTTCACAGTACAGCATTTCCAGCCAGACAGCTCAGATTTGGAATATAGATAAATATAGATGAGATAAATGTGGTAGAATCGGGAGGAGTTGGTAGGTTGAGGTTAGCAAGCAAGATCAATCAGGCAGCAACTGAAAACAGAACCCACCTGAGCATGCAGAGAGACACTGTAGAACCGGGAGGGAATTCCTAGACCCACTGGGGCAGGGCCAGCCCAAATGGGAAGAGCAACTACGTAGCATCAGCTGTCCCTCCTGTTGGCCGATGAGCTGCATGGACCACCCCGAGGGCTGAGTCAAGACTGAGGGAAAAAGAAAGGAGTGGGCCACTGCCTTTTGGAATCAACTCTTCATATTGGCAGAAGCTGCTCCTACAAATCACAGAGATAGTTCATTCAATTCATGCAACTTTTTAGCAGCTCTCATAGAAAATGGCTTGTTAAAATCAGGGGAAAGTGTGTTTTAATGAGCTTTTGTTTTATCTGCTGGAAAGAAAAAGTGAGGCATAATGTGCTCACAATACAGCCCATCCCTGGAGGAGGGGGAAGAACATTTGGACACCCCAAAATGCTCATCTAAAAGTTTTGGGGAGCAAGGGGAGCATGGAGGCAATCCTTTTCCTGCCTTCCATTGGAAGCCTGTAATCCTCCAAGTTTGGGGGTCTAGGCAGTGCCACTGAATGGTACCATAAATGGGAAACACAACTTTAGAGACCATCACATCGAATTCCAAAATGTCATCCCCGCAAAGTCGAACCCCCACAACATCTCAGCACATAGCACAGCAAATGCTGACTCAGCCAGTAAAAGATGAGAGAGTGAGTGCCGTTAAACTAAATAAACATTTTGTCTTGTTTTACATTAATGATATTGTAAATGTCAATGTGACATTAAACCTATACATATTCAATAAAATAGATTGTAAGAGTAATTATAATTAGTAAGATAAATTATTCTTACATTAAAATACCTACAACACTTAGATCATACCAAATTCACCTAGATGACAGACAGACAGAGAATTGTCTGTCTTTTTCTAAACCATTCCAAGTCAAACTTTTCTAAACCATTCCAAGTCAAACAAATGGCAATGCAGCCTCCTTCCAATAATATACAGGGTTGGAACCTGATGTCTGCATGAAGGGGTTGGCCAGAAGCTGAGTTTCCCACTCTTCTCTTATCCTCCCATGCTCTCATGCTCCCAAGGGTTGCTGGACTCTGAAAAGAATGGGAGCTGTGATAAGGGCAGAAGAGGAGAAGTGGAGGGTTACAGAAAATCAGGCAGAGACAATGTCTTTTTTTCCAATTTTCTGTGAAGACCACCATCCTCCAGAGCTCAGCCCCACTGCTCTGGATTTTTCCACCCTCAGGAAACATTCTTACAGCTCTCTGGGGACTGGCAAGAAGGTGGCAAAAAAGCCAGTTTCCATCTGCTGCATGGGCAGATCTCAGGATCCAACCCATTAAATAAAGTCTGCCTCCTTTCTCTCCCCCAGCAGGAGCAATTTGGTCATACTAAAAAGATGGAGCTGCCTATGTGTTGCATATTAGAAACATCTTTGTTTCTAGGACCATTCTCGACGTTTTGATTTCCTTTCTAATAAATAACTACAAGAACTACAAAACAAAAGTCTACTAGTATAAGCTTATACATGTCTACTCGGCAGTAAATCCCATTCAGTTCAGTGGGGCTTACTCCCAATCAAGTGGGTATAGAAATGCAGCATCGGTTTGCCTTACATAACTGTCAAATTCTGCAAGTTCTCATGAGAGTTCACCTCTATTTTGTAGGAGGAAACAAGGCAGTAATACCTCTATCTTCTAGAGTAAGTATGAACAAAAGATAGATTTCCAGTTATTTCCAGCTGCCTGCCAGCATGGCCAGTGGTCAGGAATGCTGATGAAATCCTAAACACAGATCTACTTTCTGCTTTCCCTTAAACTAGAAATCCTCAGTAAGCCAATTTTTTTAGCCCAGGTTACTTTCTTCTTAGGTAAAACCAGGAAAAGAAATCTATCTACAGCTACTCCAAGCCCTGCACTAGAATCCTTCCCATGCATTATTTCACTATTTCTGTTAGTTTCCTCATTGTTTTTCTTTGTATGACCCACACAAATTACACTAATTAAATTGGCCACTTTTCTTGTCTTCCAACGGCTGTACGTTTCAAGACATCATTTTGGAGGCCCGTTATGGCTCCCAGCACCGCAAACAGAGGAGAAGTCGCACAGCTTTCACAGCCCAGCAGTTGGAAGCCCTGGAGAAAACTTTCCAGAAGACTCACTATCCAGATGTGGTGATGAGGGAGCGCTTGGCAATGTGTACCAATCTGCCAGAAGCCAGAGTTCAGGTACCATCATTCAGTACTTCTCACGAGAATATGATGGCCCCACAAAAGCCTTGTCTGGAAGCACCCTTAGAGTAATTGCAACACCAATTTGCTTTAATGTGCTTTTAAAAACCTCTTTTCAGTCCCAGGGTTTTTAGAGAATGATTCCTTCAACTCAGCACTTCAGTAGTTCATTGCGGGCAGGTGATTAATCAATTTGAATTAATATTTGTCTTGTAAGGTATCTCAAAAAAAAAAAAAAGACCATCCCAACTTATATGATTAGCATGACCACAAAATAATATGAAACTAGATTATTTGTTTCCCCCTGCCCTCCCTTATGTGCCAAATGAAGGTTTGGTTTAAAAACAGAAGAGCCAAGTTCCGGAAGAAGCAGCGCAGCCTCCAGAAGGAGCAACTACAGAAACAGAAAGACTCTGAAGCCAACCATGGTGAAAGCAAAGCAGACACTCCGCTCTTAGAAGCACAGAATCCAGCTCCAGAGGCAGACAAATCACTGAGCCTGCCAAGTGAGGTAAACACAGAGCTCACCCTGACCCTGTCTGAGCAGTCCGCGAGTGAGTCTGCCACGGAGGACCAGACAGACCGAGAGGAGGAATTCAAGATCTCACTAGAGGAGAACAAATCAGATAAGAGTCCTGAAGCTGACAACAAACTTCTGAACAGCAAAAGGGCAAGCCCAAAAGCAGGTAAGGAAGAAAGTCGACTTGCTTCTCTGGCAGTACTCTAGGTCGGCTGGTGAAAGTTTGGATGTAAACACAATTTGAGGGTTGGTTCTGAAAAATGGCTTTCTCTCAGGGTAAAATGCTTCCAAGTAATTTCATTAAAATTGGTTTGGGCAATGTTGGGAGATCTGAGGGTGATTTTTTAGTCCCTGGTCCTTGCTTTCTGTTCTTCAGCCAGTTACCAATCCATAAGAAACCCATCCTCTTATCTCATGACTGGACAACTTATCTCTGTGTTTGGAAAACCAATGTGTGTACTGATTAGAGTGTAAGACCAAGGCTCAGGAGATCCATGTTCTAGTTCCAGCTCACTGGGTGACTTTGGACCACTCTTTGACTCTCAGCCTAACCTACCTCACAGGGTTGTTGTAACGATAAAATGAAGAGGGACATTATATAACCTGTTTCAGATTGCTTGCAGAAAAGGGCATGGTATAATAATAGCCATGATGATGACTGCTAAAATAATCAGATTGGAAAAGATGCAGAACTTGGAGGTGGGAGTGATCCTGTGTGTGTTTCTCAAAAGATCACTGTGAACATCCTAATGAAAATTTTAGAAAACTGTGCCGTATATGCAGTCCTTGGCCACTGACTACAAGTGGAAACACCACATCATCAAGACTGAAATGTGTTTTTTCAAAATATAATTAATTATAAGTGCACCAACAGCTTCAGTTGACAGTGAATAGTGTCAGCAAACATTTACACAAGCTGTTAGTCTCTGGGTTTGTTCAATCCAGGCAAGCCCTGCAGAAGATTCTTGAGATCTTCTGCATGATGTCATCAGTGCATGAGCTGCTGGGATTCACTGGCACCCCCATTCTTCTGCTGTCATCCAATAATCTGGGGAAGGGGAAAGAGGGTGGCAGGAAGCATCACTGCATGGAGAGACGGTAGCACTAGAGGCACATGAGAAGCCTACAAGCAGCTGCTAGGACATTTCTGCTCATCTGAATCCACCCAGCATCGGAAAGCCCTGGGCCCGAATAAGACAATGCATTTCTCCCAGCCAGTAATCTTCTCCCCACGGCCTGTGGGGGAATGTGCTCACACCTTCTCATCCCTATCTTCAGGGTTGCCCGATACTGGGCATCCAAGCATGGACGTAACATGTGAACGGGGTGCCCACACATATACATGAGATGCAAACTCCTGATGGGAATGGAAAAGCAAGTCATTGGTGCTTCTTCTCCCCTGGCATGAAGCAGCATCTCAAGCTGCTCTGAATTTGGGGCAACCTGGACATACTGCCTTTAAAACTCACATGCGCACACTCACACTATTTCCAAATGTGAATGGACTTTCTATTCCAGGTGATTCTTTTAACTGACTTGATTCTGTTGTGTTTAAACATGCAGATTCCCCCATCGGTGCCACAGCCACGCCGTCCTCCAGTAGCGGTCTTTCTCAGACCCACTCCTACTCATCCTCACCCCTCAGCCTTTTCCGCCTACAAGAGCAATTCCGCCAGCACATGGCTGCCACAAACAACTTGGTCCATTACTCCTCCTTTGAAATGGGGACCCCTTCTGCCATGCCTTACTTGGGCATGAATGTCAACATGGCCCCCCTCAGCTCGTTGCACTGCCAGTCGTATTACCAGTCCCTCTCCCACGCCCAGCAAGTGTGGTCCTCGCCGATCCTGCAGGCATCCTCTTCTCTTCCAAGCCTGAACAGTAAAACAACCAGTATTGAGAACCTACGGCTGCGAGCAAAGCAACATGCTGCTTCTCTGGGGCTGGATACTTTACCAAATTGAACATCTGGCAGAAAAAATGGTAAGAGCCCATCCCACCAATGATCCCAAGCAAAGAAGCTGCATTTTCGCCAGTGAATGGGCTGGCCTTTGACATGTGATGCTCAACTCTCCATTTTGCTCTGCAGTTAAGGTGCTCCTGCTTGTAGGGAAACATATACAAAATTGTCCTGTATAGTTCTGTTTCCACATCAGGCATTGCTTCTGCCTGTTTTCCACTGGCCTATTAAAAGGTATCCTACAGAAAGGAAAGATGTTGTAAATGTGAAATTGTCTTCAGAACTGTGAGTCAAATACGTAATATTTGGAAAGATTCTTTAGCTATGCTATGATAAATGTGTCTGTTGCTTTGTTATTCTTGGTGGCGGGGGAAGTGGGGAGAGACACAAGGTCCTGCTTCATACTGTATATAGCTTATACAATGCTGGAAATGTTCCTTCACTTGTGTGTTAACGTCAGTGTTGCCTTATACAGAATTGTGAAGCACCTCCCTTCCCTATCCTTTTGCATTTATAATTATATAGTAGGTAGAATCAACACTGTAATAATAAAAAAGCCAAACTCTTTGTCAGCTGATTTTATGTGGTCACTGCTCCAGACACAGGAAACTAGTCTGCACCCTTAATGCCACTTTCTCCTCATGTCCTCCATAATCACCACACCATATGAATGCAGGGAAATTCTTAAGCTTCAGTCCTTTTTAAGCACTTCCGGTAGCCATCTTTGGAAGCACTTCTTCAAGTGAAATGAATGAGAGAAATAAAAGTAGTTGAATGTCTTCTTTCCAAATTCCAAAGAGGTTTCTCTCTTTGTATTCTGTCTTCAGAAGTGAGGAGAGTGTTATTTATGGGTTGGATCCAGGATCTGCTTTCCTTTATTGGAAAGAGGCCACCCGTGTAAGGTGCTTCTGCCTGAGCCTCATTTTGGAGCTTGCCCCTCCCTTCTGCCCCACAGCACACCCCCATTCCACAGGGTCGCCCACCATCTATGAAGCATTGCCATGGAGAGAAGGGGTGGGGAAGTCTGTGAAAACCTTGTTTGGACCAAAAGACAAATGATAAATCTATAAATAAAACTAAAATTGCATGTATCTGTCTCTTCTAGCCCAGCTGCATGCACCAAGATCTGACTCAACTTGATGAAGGTCTTGTGTAAGGAATTTGAGACCAGTTGTGTGTGTGCACATCTGTGCTTTTCCACAGCAGTTGAATGCAAGGCTGACCCAAAACATTTTGTTCCTTTGGAGCAGCAAATGGTATCCCCATATGCACTCCCCAAAGTCATATACAGTCAGGCCACTGAACCCGGGATTATTGATACTGACTAGCAGTGGCTTCCCAGAGTTCCGGGCAGCAGTTTTCCTGCCCTAGATGAAGAAAGTGGGGATTAAGCCTGAGCCCTTCTGCATGCCAAGCTTGGGATCTGCCGCGAAGCAGCACCCCTTCCCTGTGCATGGTCCTCAAGGCCAGTCAAGTTCTCTTGGCTCCTGAAGCAGAAAATCCCACAAGTACCTCCACTCTCCCAACTTGACCCTCCTTGTCAGGAAAAGAGTGCAATAATTATAAATCAACAGAGTAATCCTGCCAGCTTCTGTGAAGATCTCTCACATGAGAGCTTCTGAAATCAGAGCCTGTGAGTCTGGAAGAGTAGAAGAAATGAAGGAGTGATGTTCTACTGATTTTGTTCCCATGGCAATTTTTTCCCTGTCCTGTTAGAATGTCTCTCTTCCCAGGTGTGAGCAGAAAGATGGAAAGGAACTGTGGCAGCTTCAGGGCTCCCATTATTCTACCCCTGCTTTTGGCCTGTGGTGGTGGCGGGGTGCATCTGGGGACATTTTCACTCTGTAATGTCTGAGTGATAAGGGTTGTGGAGGGGGAATTGCTCCTTGCAGGTCCAAATTCCCTGTCCACCCTGTCCCTGTCCAATCTATGATGTGGTACCTTCCCAGGGTCTACAGAACTGATGCTAAATAGCCAACCATTCGCTGCCTTTTCATGACACTCAAGATCGACTACTTAAATCACCTCACCCTGGCTAATGGTAAAGCTGCTCTGAAGTCTCTGAAGAATATTGTGACAGATTTAAGACAGAGTTAGCAAGAACCAAATACACCATGAAGCCTGTTGTTATTTCTAGGTTCAGGGGTCAACCCTGTCAAGGAGGGCTGAGGTCCACAAGCGTTGACATGAACTAAAATGTACCCTTCGGGGGTTTTGTTATGTTTTGTTTTGTTTTTTGCTCTTAAGTGTAAAATCCAAGATCTCATTACAGTGACAATTCATCAGATATTGAAGACCTTCACGTCAGAGGTAGTTGACTAAGGAAGGCCAACATGTCCTGCTGTTCCACTTGCTTCAATACAGAGACAAAGGTGTGCTGGCATATTTCCATATGCAGAATTCAGTGGACTGTGTAAGTTTAATGGAACTTACCTCTGAGTTAGAACATACAGGATTGCACTGTTAATATCCTGATATTTTAAGTGTATTTCTGATATCTTAAATAGTATTAAGGAGAACAAATTGTATAGTGCAAGATAGTGCTGAGAGAAAGAGAGAGATATGCAAACATTACATTGAAATTTTAAAAAACCAATATAGAAATTGGTTCAATGCAGACTTAACTTTCTGATATTCAAAGGTCATCATTCATAAAGCTTCATATCATATTACTGAACATACCTTTCACATTTGACCCTTTACATTACAGGTATTACCTTTCCCCTGATAGTTCAATTACAAGTTCAAGGAAGAAAGTCTTGGCTTAATTTCCAGTTTTTCCAAACATATTTTACTGTCAGTGATGAAATGTCAGGAATGGTGAAAGACTTCAGAACACCCCAGAATCTGCTAGGAAGAGCATTTCTAATTACTGGATTTTGAAGATAGATAGCAACAGCTTCAAAAGTGGGTGGGAGCATTAAGTGTGGCTATAATATTACAAGTTTAGCTCTCCAAGCTGAGCTGACTCGAGGCATTTTGGCTTTTCCCCAGTTCTACTTCCAGATTCCAACCAGACAGATAGTCGAATCTTACTTCAGCACTAGTGACAGGAGAGCATTCTTCACGACAGCAGGCTAACTTAGAGGGCTCAAGGAAAAGAGGTGGGCTAATGCCACTGGCCTCACATTAGGCAGCCACTTTGCCCTGCCTTGTGGTGTGGATGCCTCTGTGCCCAAGACTGGATGTTTTTCTCTTTCACTGGGTGAATCCAAATAAGTCCATATGTTGAGAAAACAGTATTCACCAGCAGAGCAGAGTCCACCTTCTACTTTCAGCACCCTGTCCCTCATATCTAATCTAGAGATTTGCAGGGTCCTGCCAAGATGTTTTAGGGGATAGAGAGGGGTATAGAGACCCAACATCAGGTGTAGCCCATGGGATGGATCTCGGTATAATTACATTAAGCTGACTTATAACTCTAGGCTGAATTGTTGCTCCTATCATGAGTGATGGCACTTTGCAAATTCTTATAGTGGGTTACTTTACACATAACCAGAAGCCACCATTGGTGAATTTCCCTGTGGTGTTTTTGGTATGTTAGTGGCCACCATTTCAGCTATGGAGGCAGGCAGCACAATGGATTGTTGTTACATGCAAACCCAATCCAGGTTGGTGGTTGGAGTGATGGACAAGCCAGCAGGGCCTGTGGGCTGTTTAACAGTTGTGGTTGGCTTGACTACCACCCCAGTAACCCACCTGTGCTGGATTTACATGCAGCAGCAAGCTATGATATGCCCACGCGGAAGCTTGAATGAACACTGTAATTAGCAGCCACACAGAGAAACTGAAGCTCCCAGGTGGCATTTTCTACAAGTTCAAAAAGAAAGAGTGTGAGGGAGATGTAAACTATGCTTTGTTTTGTTTATTCCATGATTATGTTGTTGTTGTTGCTTCTCTTTCAAAATTATGACAACTTGACATTTCTTATTTTAAAGACTTTCTTAATTTCAAGACATCACCACTCCACAGAACATACTGGAAGCTTCTTATTTGAGAGATAGCACCTTATTTAAAATTGAGTTAGAAGCTTTATTTAAACAGAAGAGGGCAGAAATGGCAAAGTGTTCCTTTAAAAGAAGATGTTTCTTAAGGCGCTAAACAGACATTATTAATAGCATGATCCTATTCATGTCCAGTAAGTCCAGCCCATTTAATGGGGCTTATTCCTTGGTAAGTAGCCTATGAATGCAATTCTTAATTTTATGTTATAATGGGAAGCAGAACTCAGAATGGTTAAACATTTTATCCAGCTTACCCTCCTATGTTAGTACAGCATGCAGTAAGAAAAGCGGAGCGATATGAAGGTGAAATTTAACCATTCATTCATAAAAGCTTTGCATTGTTTAGTTTCCTTGGTGTAAAAAGTTGTCCATGTTTCAACTTGTTTCTGGAGTTTGGAGAAAAAGCTAGGAAACTCATTTTTCCCTCCTTGTTACCTTTCTCCTAAAAGTAAGGTGATCCATCACCTCCTCCCCCTAACTCCCCATTCTAAAAATGTTTCTTATGTGCATATAGAAAGTACACAGTTCAGTCAAACAGCTTAAAAAGAACTAGTCACATACCTAGATTACAATTCCCTTGAAAGGAAAACAGGTATGGCTTGTTTTCTGTTTCATTCCTTTGAAGGGTGAAAAAATAGATCACCATCTGAAGTAAAATGTCGTATTCATTTTTCATGTTGTAGCTTTGAAAAGAAGGAAAGTTCATAACAGATATGCATGTATGCATGCACACACACACACACACACACACACACACACACCTACACACAGCAGTATAGCTATTCGAATTATCATACTAATTCCATGTAAACAGGCAACGTACTGCAGCAGGTTTAGCTTTAAACGAAGAAAGGAATGCAAATGTGTGTTTATTGATATACTTGTTTTTCTTGGTAGAATTGCCTCAGATACTTTCATCTTGAAATATTGCCTAAAATCTGTATGAATGCCTGAGATGGAGCTTACCATCCCATCTAGTATTAGTGCCATCTTGCCTTGT